GAAAGAAGTCATCCACATGGAGGTCATATACCTGGGTGATGACATCGTGATCCCCACCCGAAAAGAACTCTCCTTTTGCAGGGGGTGGCAGGTGAAACGGGGAGGGGAGGCTGGAACCCGGGACATGAGAACCGGAGCAATGATGGGTTCTGTGACAGAAGGACATTCAGGGCACAGGAGCCAAAGAAACACCAAACAAACCCATGTTATTGAAAGGGTAGAAGCACACTGGTGTGAGAGCGCTTAGAGCGTGAGGTTATGGTGTGAGGGCAGGAGCAGCAGCAGAGCAAAGTCCCCGAGGCACAAAAGAGAACATGTGGTCTGGTGTGGCTCAGGGTGGGAGGGGACCTGTGATAGGAGGTGAGGGTGGAGAAGCGGGGTTGGGGAGGGGGGGTCAGATCACACACTTGCTAAAGAGTTTGGACCCTGCTGCGAGTCTCCGGAAGGTTTTAAGTAACAAGATGAGCTGGGTAGGAGTCTAAAATGGCCCCCAAGACTGTAGCGCCTTAGTACAGACCCACCTTCTCCCAGTCAATTCAGTCAAAAACCAATCTAGGGGCTGCTGGGAGAGAATTCTGCAGATGTAATTAAGGCCCCAAACAGCTGATCTGAAGATAAGGAGATTATTCTGGGAAGACCTGACCTAATTAGATGAGCCCTTAAAAGGGACCAGGCTCCTCCTAAAAGAGATTTACAGCGGGCAAGGGATGTACCAAGGGATGTAACGAGTGGGAGGTTCTCCTCACTGACTTTCAGGAGGGAGGGGGCTGTGTAGAAGGCATGTCAGAGGCCTCCAGGAGCCCAGCTACCACAGGCCAACAGCCAGCAAGGAAACAGCATGTCCGCCCTACAACTGCAAGGAACTCATCTTCCAACATTCATCTATGGAATGATCTGGCACACATGCGTGCCCAGGTTGCAGACCCCGGCTCCCTGAAGGGCTCAGCAGAGCCCTGGGTGGGCCTAGGACTAGACGCCCCCAGCCTCATCCCCAGCAGGAGCAGGCTGGCCGGTCTCTGCAGGGGGCTGCGGGAGAGCTAGGGCCAGGTCCTGCTGGCCCACCAAGCGGGGTCCTGCCAGGTGCATGCGGAAATATCTGAGGTGGTCACTGTGTCACAACCCCCTCCCCACTCTCCCCTGCCCTCTAGCACTGAAGAGCACAGCAGCCCTACCTCTTCCCCAGCTGGACGAGGCTGTGTGTGTTGGAGGAAGCGCGCCCCCTGACCCCCAGCACTTCATCTGCCCTCCGCATTCGGGACACAGATGCACGGTCATGTACCAGGGGTGCGGACGTTCCCGTTTGCCCAGACCATGCACACTGCGGTGGCCAGAGTCTCCAGGGGAGCCCACACAAGCGGGTTTAGCTCACACCCATCTGGGAGCACCGCTGTCAGCACACGCACGGGGCCCAGCAGAGGGGTAAAGTCTCACTATTTCCCCACTGCCTCCCTGTTTGACCTTGGGGAACTCCTCTGCCTTGCCATGCGGGTCCCCAGCCCACCCCCAGCCTGTGGAGAGCAACGCCTGCTCCTCGCTGCCTTGCAAGAACAGGGCGGAGATGCCACAGCCTCTCCTCTCGGGTGGGCTCGGGTCCCGAAGGAGGGCTCCACTCGAACCCCAGGCCGCTAGAGAGCAGAGTCATTTCTGAAAATACATTCTCAGCCGCGTCTTTACAGTTCGCTTCTCTGCGGGAAAGGCCACTCACTGCGAGTTTACCAGGACCGAGAGCAAGAAAGGGATCGGAGATGAAGAAGGGATGCAGATGTGTTCTGCACACAGCTGGTGCAGAACGCAGCAGAGCGGGATAGCCCGATGAGAAAACTCCTGTGTGGAACCAGAAACCCGGCCATCCGGACGGGCTTTGATGGTAGCCCTACAGCCACAGCGTGCCGCCAACGTTCACGCAAATGGAGAGGATGGAATCAGACTGGATGGGAGGGACGCAGCCAGCGTGTGACTGTCGGGAGTCCTGGTTTGGTTCCAGACATAAGGCTGGGAGAAGACACACAGAGGGCGGTGCTGGGGATGGGAAGCCCGGCAAGGTAGCCCTCGGGGAGACCTGCCTCGGACAGGGCCGTGACCTAGAACCAGCAACCCGGATGTCACAAGGCACCTTCCTGAGGGGTTTCTCCTCCCGAAAAGACCACTGCTTCGCCTGGTCCCCCAGCCCCTCCCCACCCCTGCTCTTTGCAGCTTGGATGCCCGGCCCCACAACACTGGTGTTTGCACCCATCCTTTTTTAGGGAGGACTGTTTCTGAAAATACAAGGCTGATTTCCCTCAACCGACTGTAACCACGAGTTTGGCAGTGATTTAAGACCTTCAAAGAAGATGGTAGTTTCTACTTGATTTTTAAAAACGAAAACAGCCCCAGACCTCAGCTCTCAGGTGTCCAAATCCTCTGCCCCCATGAAATGATTATTCCAGTTCCTAGGCTATATTTACAAGATAATGATGTTATTTTCCTTCTTTCTGTAGCCCTGCGGGTTCTTTCTTGGCTCCATCTATCCGGGTCTTGATTAGAAATCCATGCTAACCAACTTTCGGCTGGTTACTGGAAGCCCGTCGTGACTGACAAAACAAACGAAGTCTCTCTCTGTTTAGTCAGCAGAACCCGCATCCTACTTGTGCCAGCGAAGGCCTTGGGGGTTTGGGGAATTTGAAAAATTGAGGGGCTTAGCTTACAGATGCAACATCCAAATGGCTCCCAGTTGAAAGCAGGGAGTGGGTCTGCCGCCCATGTTCCTGGCACAGTCACGCCATCGTGAGGATTTGTTGAGGGCATTTTCCCTGCGCTGCTTTCCTCTTCCCACCTCAAGCAAAGCAACTACCATTTAACCTCGTGGCCAGAGGCGCTGGCAACGTGAAGCAGAGCTATTACGGCTTGGGAGGAAAGACACCAAAGGACAGTGAGTACATCAGGAGGGCAGTGAAGCTCCCCACCAGGCAGTCTCCATCCACCCTCCGCTAGGAGGCCACGCTGGAACAGAAACAGCCGTGGCTGGGTCAGCACAGCAGACGGAGTGGCTCCTACCCCCTCCTACCTGCCTCCTACCCCCAGAAATGATGGCAAACCCATTTTTTTTTTAAAGATTTTATTTATTTATTTGGCAGACAGAGATCACAAGTAGGCAGAGAGGCAGGCAGAGAGAGAGAGAGAGGGGAAAGCAGGCTCCCTGCCGAGCAGAGAGCCCGATGCGGGGCTCGATCCCAGGACCCTGGGATCATGACCTGAGCCGAAGGCAGAGGCTTAACCCACTGAGCCACCCAGGCGCCCCAGCAAACCCATTTTCAAAGAAATCCTCAAGCATGTCAAGAAAGCAAGGAGCACTCTTTGTATACCAGAAACCATGAGCAATCATAAAACATGAAAGGCAGACTTCTATTCTTCTTGAAAAGGGAAACCACAACTCAAAATGCACAGGGGAGAAAGCTGCGAGAGGAGGAAGGGGACTCAGAGGTGCGCAACCAGGGACGCCAGCCACGCAGACAGGGGGGGACCCAACCCTGTGGCCCCATCTGCACAGAGAGGTGTCGTCAGCCAGTAGGACTGGAAGCCCAACAGTTGGCCTTGTGACCCAAAACCAAGAGTCACAAAACTCAACTCTAAAAAGAACTTACACGTGAGGAAACAGTTACTACAGCAGACAGAATTACATTTTTAGAATATAAATGATAAACATCCTCATCTTAAAAAACAGAGGACAGATTTCATCACCAAAATGAAAAAACTCAACATAGAAGCCACACACCATAACGGACATAGCTGAGAAGAAATTTGTGAGTTGGAAAACTGAGCCAAAGAACCTTTCTAGAATGATGACCTGAGTTCCTGTGCACTTGAAATACTGACTGGTTTGAATGCGGGATGTGCTGTAAGTGCAAAATATATACCAGATTTGAAGACTTAGTGAGGAAGAAGAATGAGGAAGAGGGGGAAGAGGAAGAAAACGATCTTAAACATTTTTTAAAAAATACTAATTACACATTGAAACGATATTTTGGATACACTGGGTTAAATAAAATAAATTAGCATGGACTTTTGGCTTTCTTTTTACTTTTTTATTTTTAAATAGGCTCTCGGGGTGCCTGGGTGGCTCAGGCAGTTAAGTGTCTGCCTTCGGCTTAGGTCATGATCCCAGGGTCCTGGGATCGAGCCCCACATTGGGCTCCCTGCTCGGTGGGGAGTCTGCTTCTCCCTCTCCCTCTGCCTGCTGCTCTGCCTACTTGTGCTCTCTATCTCTGTCAAATAAATAAAATCTTGAAAAAAAAATAAAATAAATTAGGCTCTACACTCAGCATGGAGCCCAGCATGAGGTTTGAACTCATGACCCTGAGATCAGGACCTGAGCTGAAATGAAGAGTCAGACACTTAACCAACTGAGCCACCCAGATGCCCTCTTCTTACTTTTTGAACTTGATTATTAGACAGTGTGAAACTTCCTAGGTGGCTTGTGTTCCATGCCTCCTGGACGGCACTGCAAACGGTGGTGGGAATGTGCCAGCTGACGATGTGGGAGACAGATCGGGACGAGTCGGCATGTTTGTCCTTGCAGAAGGAGAGGAAGAAGGGAGGGAAAGAAACTCTGGCACAGCAGAGGAAGAACGTCCAGGACTGAGTAAATAAACCTATGAGGTCTTCTGATTGGAAAGAGCCAGTGATGTTGAAAGAAAGTGTTCCCGCTAGTGTTGGGAATGAGACAAAGAGGACTGTTTGATCATCACCATTTAGCGCTGTCCTTGTCAATGCAGGAACACAGTAAGAAAGCAAAGAGACCCCTCCGGCTTGTAGATGAAATGACTGCCTCTGTGCTCTCCCCTGACACTGCCCCCTCAAAAGGCCTGGCACCACACCTTCTCCACACTGAGCCTGCAAGGCCTGGGTAAGAGTCAGACCTCTCGGCACCTGCTCCTTCCCTGTCATGACCCATGGAGAGCTGACACGTGCGCCCAGGGAACCAGGAATACATCGCTCCCTGGGGCCGTGGGGAGGGGGCTTACCTACGGATGGCGTTGGCGAACTCGGCAGCCAGCTCGCTGTCGCTGCACGTTGTCCTCAGTTCAGTCAGTGACAGAGCTGGGGAGGTGGCATCCGCACAGTCCTGAGGACAGCAGACACATTCTGGTTAGCCCTGGGAGCACCTTGGAAGCACAAGGCAGATCTGCCCCCCTTCCCTGGACCCTTGCAGGCCGGCTGTGGGCGATGGGGACTCCCAGCATGCTCTGAGCACCTCACACATGTTCTCCCACGGACTCTTGGTGGTGACCTGCTGAGGCAGACAATGTCTCTACCCCCATTTGCCAAGGAGAAAACGAAGGCACAGAGCAGTTACGCTGCCCCGAGTCATCAGCTAGGACAGGGTGGACCCAGGATTCAAACCCAGGCGAGCTGGTTACACCACTGGGGTGTGATTCATAAAAGATGAGTGGGAAATGCACCTGAGTGTTCTTGCCCCCTCCCCCAACCCACTTCTTGGGAGAAAACCAATCTTCTTTAGATTTGGGAGCTTGAGTGGGTTCAGCGTAATCATCCAGCAAAAAAAGAAGACAGATTTGCACCCTCCGTGTATGTGTGTTGTGTGTGTGTGTGAGGGAGAGAGAGAGTGGGGTGGGAGGCGGTGGCGCCTGATGCAGGGCTTCCAGCAGGCCTCCGTCTCACCGCCCTGAGATCACAACCTGACCCCAATCAAGAGTCAGATGCTTAACGGACTGAGCCACCTTTAACCACCCCCTTTTTTGAAATGAAATACAGCAGACACATGTTACCTTAGTTTTGGTTGTGACCCCACTTGTATGTTAACCTTAGACAGGAATTTTGATGTCATCTAAACCCAGTCCTCTCATCTGATAGATGAAGAAGCATGAGAGCCGGAACTCTAAAATCCTAAATGGAGTTCAAACTACTCGTAAAGGAACACTCAGACCCCTTGGAGCACTCCTTTCCCTGTGTGCACATGGAGGGCAGCAGCCGTGCTGAAGAACCAGGGGGCCTGGGGGGCGCCCCTCTCGGCAGACATGAACTGAGGGCTTAAGAACAAAAAGCTTGTGGTCTTTCCCAGGAGATGTGAGGTCAAAGGAAAGTTGTCGCGCGCTGGGATGTAAGAACTGAGCACCCCGGTCCAGATGACAGGAGGGCACAGGGTCTCCCTCAGCCCTCTCCAGCACAGGACCACCCTCGGGGACCCTCTTTGTGGCAGCTGCACCAGGCTCCGGACCCCTCGCCCTGCCCCCTGCCCTGCCCCGCCCTCCACCTGCGCTGCCTTCCCCACCCCTCTCCATCTTGGTCCTGTAGACCCAGGCCCCCGCTGCCAGCCCCTGGCATCTGCTGAGTTTCCAACACCCTCTCTCTTTGCGTATCGGCTCCCATGTGATGTTAACGTTTCCTAAGGGTCCTTAGAGCCCGGGTGGCTCTGCCTCGCCCGGTGCCTCTCCCTGAACACATGTGGTACTATCTGTTGTACAGAGACAAGAGCTGCAAAACCTGAAGGCAGCCTGGGTAGGATTCCAGCTTGCGGGCTGGAGGCGGTTTGAAAGCAAGCCCGACACCCGCCCCATGGGGCCAGAGTGGCCATACGAGCTCCAGGCCTTGCCTGCAACCTGTTTCTCTAAGGCCTGCGGCCTAAGCATTGTTTCCGATTTTTAAACTCATGAAAAAAAGATGATTTTGTGATGTGTATACACCCTATGAAATTTTAGTGTCGGTGAATGAAGTGTAATTAGAACACAGCCCACACCCCTCTAGGTCCACACTGGGTCTGCTTTCAGGACAAAGCTCTAGAACAGCCCAGTTCCGGACTCGCAGAGATGTCTGTGTGACCTGAAGCCCTTAAGATAATGGCTTCTGGCTTCATCACAGTTTGACAACCCTTCCTACAGACTGCTTGCCTCCTCCATCGACCAACAAGGTCAAATGAAGAGCCCAGAAGGGAAATTTCACTGAAAGAGTAAATGCATCTGATGTTTGAAAGACAAGACAATCGGTTTACAATGACTTCATTACCTCAGCAACACAAGGTACTCTTCTCTCTTATAAAGCTTCTTACTTGAATGTAAAAAAAAAATTTAAAAATAAAACCATCTGGCCTTTTCCATTAGATTTCTGTACTTTGAAGCCATTCCACACAATTGGGAAACACACAGTGTTTCTCTCAGTCAAAATAAACACCAAGAACCAGGGGAAAATGCTCGGCTCATAGACCTTTTGGCAAGAACCCGGTAGGTCTGCTTCCACCACACCTTAACACACTGGTGAACACTGGAGCTCTGTCCCTCAGCTCTGTCCTGGAGTGACTGGAAACAGGCTCGAATGGCTGTACAGATTTTTAAGGTGTTTCCCATTAAAAGGGGAAACCCCATTTTCTTGAACCACAGATATTACCACATGGAACGCTTTGTAGACTGTCCACCCAGACTCCACTCTGCAGGCAGTGGGCAGATGGTTTTATGGGGACCCTCGTAGGCACCCCCCTGAAGCCCTGATGGGGACACGTCATCCCCTGCTGCAAAACCCTCATGATTTCTCACTGCCCTCCGGATAGCACAGCTGCCTCACCTCGTCAGCCAATGTACCAATATTCCTCTTCCCTCTGGGTCTTTGCCCTCGACATTCCATTCCCTTACAGAGGACTGACTTCTCTGCCCCAACCCTCCTCATCGGGTAGGTGCCCTTCTCCACCAGCTCTTGGTTCAGGAAACCTGTCCCAAATCACACCTGGGCTCTGTGTCAGTCCCATGGTCTCCCACTCACGAAGAATTGATCCTTGGTCTTAGGTCACTGTGTTACAATCATCTGTTTGCCCATCACTGTCCCTCTCTGGATAGAAACTCCTCGAACTGCCTCTGGCACCTCAGCACGACCAGCTCCCTTCTATCTTGTGAGTGGATGACAGGCAAGCAGCCAGGTCTTGGGAGAGATGGCCCAGCCAAGGGCCATGGACTTGAACTCCCTTGAGTCCCCTGCTAGGTGAGAGGTGGACAGAGTGTAGCTGTGGCCCTTTGCGAAGCTTGCTCCACAGTTCTTAGCTGTTTAGGGAGTGGTCACTGACTGCTACACCAATCGGCAAGTTGCTTCCTTTCCATGTGCAAAACTCCCACGGACACCCCTGCATCTGGGCTGTGAAAAGCTGTTCCTGAGACCGGCAAGTCAGCGTATGCCCCTGGGTCCTGGGCTGGAAACCAACTGGGGCTTGGAGAAGCTAGCATTTATTAAGAGGAGAAAATACAATGCAGAATACAAAATTTCCATATCCTGGGATGAGGATGTAATTCTTCAGTGTCCGCAGTATTTTTTTTTCTCAATGCAATATTCGGAATAATTCTGAGATATGGTATGATGGAATGAGCTTAGATTCTAGAGAAAAAGACTTCTGGGCTCATGAGAGTGTGAGTTTGCCAGATGACATCCCTGTCGGCCCACACTCTGTGACACTCTGTGTGTGATCTAGGGCCCGCCTTCCTCCTCCTCTGCTTGAGCGGCTTCCGGCCTCCCCTTTCGCCATCGGCAGAGATGCCAACAGAAGCTGGCGTGGCATCACGGGTTAAATCCTGATTCTGCAGCTACTAGCTGCAAGACCCCCTCCTGTCTTCTGAGCCCCATTTCCCTCGTGTAAATGGGGGTTCCCACTCCTTCCTCGGTGCTGAGGTTTACAGAAGGCCAACCAATGCGATGATCAGTACAGATGTGACCAACAGGCCGCAGGCGATGGTCACTGTGCCCGGCGGGGGAGCCAAGGAGGCGGCCCGGAGTCAGAGCCCTGGACAAATGCACCGGTCACTGCCCCGGTCAGACTGTGGCATACGAAAATGCGGTCACTAATACCTCACAGGCAATTTAAAAGAAAAAAAGTCGATTTGGTCTCTTTGCACTCAAAATGTTAGCTTCCTTAAGATCTCTAGAAAGGCTAGCAGTTCCCCTGCAGAGTAGGGAACTGAGGCTGTGGGGCGGGGTGGGGGTGGAGGCTGGGGGTTGGTAAGGCCGGGGCTGGGGCGTGCCCGCGCCCTCGCTCCTACCTTGCCAGGCTTCTCCTTGCCGCCGCTGCTGGTGGAGCTCAGGGAGCGCATGCGCTGCTCCTTCTGTTCCTCTACTTCCGACTTCAGGTGCTCGATGTGCACCAGGTAAGCCTGCTCCTGGGCCTCCCGCGTGCTCAGCTTCAGCTCCAGGGCCTTCTTCTCCTTCTCCAGGAGGTAGAGCTGGGCCTTCAGCTCGGCCATCTCCTCCTGCGGAGCACAGACGGCGTGAGGCACTCACGCCGTGGGAGCAGGACGGCGCGTGCGAAAGCGGGCCCGCGACCAGGGCGCCCTAGGCCGGGACCCGCGGCCTGCGGTGGAGTTACCACCTCGCAGCCGGGAGAAGAGGACCGGGAGGACGCAAGCCAGCTCTCTCCGCCATCTGAAGGACTCGTGTGCACAAAGCCACGTGCTTTGTCACTCTGCGGACCGGAAGGGAGACAAATGAAGGGGAGTACAGGCAAGCAGATTTTGGCTCACTGTAAGAAAAACCTTCCAAACAACTGGAACATACCTCCCCCCCCCCGCCACTCTTGCCCTCCAACCCCCAAGGGGGCACACCTGTCTCTTTTGGGAACAGTTTTCCAGCATGCATTGGCCATGCTCCAGCGGCCAAAGACGTTGTGAAGGAGGGTCGTCCACGCAAGGCTGGGTCTGACCGGCTCCCTTCCAATTCCCATTTCCTTTTCCATTTTCCATGGCCCAATCCACATTGTCAACCCTCCCTTGGTGCCCCACAGCTGAGCCGGTGGGTGGCGTGGGCCCACAGCAAGGAGATCACCTCAGCTCTTACCTACTGCAGGAGGCCCAAATGAGACCAATGGAAACAGAGTCCTTCACAGGTGACTACTCATCAGATAACTTGTCAAAGTCTCAGAGAACTCCAGTTAGAGTTTTCTGGGGGAGAGTATGTAAGAAGTGACTCGAAAACAGGGACCAGGAACCAGGTAACAGTAAACACCAGCATTTACTGGGCATGTGACACTGCTTCAGACGCTTATATAAAGTGACCCATTTAATTCTTCCAACTTGAGGTAGGCATTATGAACCTCTCCCTACACGGATGGGAAACTGAGGCATGCAGAGGAAAACCCACCTGCCCACAGTTACTGGGTAAATTGGGAGCCGGAGTGAGAACCCAGGCTGTCTGGCTCTTAACCATTAAAGCTATAGTCCCTCCCTCCAGGTGAGCCCATGCATGACTCCAGTCATGATTCCACCACCACGTGTCTTCCCTGCTCACTCTGTGATTTTACTTACAAAGATTCTCTGTAACTGAGTCACTACTTTGAGAAGGATTCACCAAGGTCACCAACCCTAGTTACCCCCGAACTGACCCTTCTTAGGTAAAAAGCCACAGGCCTGGTATGTTCTTCTGGGTGAGCCAGACCTGGAGTGTAGATGTTCTCACCCTCCAGTGTAGGGAAACACTTAGAGGGCACCCACTACGACTTGTAATATTCAGATCGGGGCTGGGGAGGCATTAGACATGCAGAAGGCAGTGTGCTCAGTGACTACTCAAAAGCAGCCCCCAAAACTTTCCTAAAGATGAGCTATAAAACCAGCATGAAAGATGTTTCCATGCACGGAAGCCTTCTCATCGTTTTCCCTTAGAAATAGGATTCTGAAGATTCTGGCAATGTTGCATACTGAGCCAAGGGGACTAGTCACACCCAGAACAAACATATAAAGGCAAGCTTGAAAGAAGGAAACATGAACCCATGAGTGCCAGAAATGAAGAAGGAACTCTGCCCAAGAGGAAAGGCAAAGCGGCCATAATACAAGCCAACAGAGGTTTCAGACCAGTATGGAGGCCCTAGGACCTGGGCTTCTGACACTGGAGTTAAGGGCAGGGCAGAGAGCCAGAAAGGAGACCCCCCTACATGAGCAGGGACGCTCCAAGTACTGCCTAGAGTAAAAGACTAGATGGATGATTTCCTTTTTGGAGATGTGATGAGGAAGCTTATCCCTCAGCATCCGGGTGGGAAAAGCAAGAAGAGCCTCTTTTTAAGGAATCGGAGCCACACACTTGTCGTATGTATAGATAAAACAGGAATCCTAAGTCATGAACGTAATAGAAACCAGCCCCAGACCTCTGTAATCCATGGGTCCCAACAGATCTATGCACAGAACCACACGGTAGGGACATCTACAAGCCAGGACCCACAAGACATGGAAGACACCATCTCCACTGACGGTGAGCTGGTAGGCACGCCCTCCCCTCGACCCACATGAAAAGGAAATGGAAACGAATCACGTGAGACAGAATCAGCATTTATGAGAACCAGAGATAACAGGTGAAACACTAGAAAATAAATATTTAAAATGAAGAGAGTGGTGCGGAGGGGAGGGAGAGAGGACTCTGATGTTTATCCTTCGCAGACCTCACAGAAAAAGGGCCTGGAGCCAGAACACCAGCTATGGCTGCCTCTAGACCAGCTTTTTATAATTTTTGCTCTTTTTAAAATTTTTTAATTAATTAATTGAGAGAGAGAGAGAGAGAGGAGGAAGGAAAAGGGAGAGAGAGAATCTTAAGCAGGCTCCATGCCCAGCACAGAGCCCCAAGCTGGGCTCGATTTCAGGACCATGAGATCATGACCTAAGCCAAAACCAGGAGCCACCTGGACACACCATTTCTACTCTTTTAGACAATTTCTAGGATGTATACACATTTTATTTTCAAATAGCAAAGGGAATCTTTTATGCCACCAGAAATGTCTTTCCTGGCCAGAGTAACCCAGAATTTATCACACATGTTGGCTCAAATATAAAAAGGAAATACTTAGGGGTGCCTGGGTGGCTCAGTGGGTTAAGCCACTGCCTTCGGCTCAGGTCATGATCTCAGGGTCCTGGGATCGAGCCCCATATCGGGCTCTTTGCTCAGTGGGGAGCCTGCTTCTCTCTCTCTCTCTGCCTGCCTCTCTGCCTACTTGTGATCTTTCTGTCAAATAAAAAAATAAAATCTTAAAAAAAAAAAGGAAATACTTAGTCTTTGGCCAAATCAAACATGATGACTGGAACACAAAACGAAAGGGCAGCCTCACAGCTCATGCCGCAGGGCACAAAGGCCCACAAGCAGGGCTCCCGACTGGGGAGAAAGGTGCTGTGATGACGGACCCAGTGCCCGGTTCATGGGCAATGAGAGGAGAAATCAGCCAAGGTTGCAGGAGGATTCCCCAGACGGAGCAGAAGTCAGGGTCTGAGCGGAGTGGGTGGGTGGTGATAAGCCAGCTCTGAAGCAAAGGGCTCATTCCTAATCCGCTGCCACCACCCAAAGTCTTCCCAGGATTCAGTGAGACTCAAGACTGAGCAGCTGCGGAGGACAGGGACACAATGAGCAAGGTCCTGAGGGTGCTGGGCTGACACTGCTGGTGGCTCCTCTTTCCAGAGGTGAGTTAACCAGAGGGGGGCCTGCTCTCTTGCAGGGACAGTGGTGGTTTCAACAGGAGACACCACTGACGAGCTATTAATGCAGTATTTCCTCGACCCACCTGACCCAAAGGACCTGCCTCTGGTCCCCAAGCTGGCTTCTGTCCCTGAGAGCCCTTCCTGTCTCAACACCTGGGGGCCAGAGACACTGCAGAACCCAAGGCTGTGTCAATCAGGCCTTTGTGCACAAGAGAGTGGAACTGGGAGGGCAGGCTCGGGGACTTGGCTCCCAGCTCCTACTTGCCACGTCCGCAGGCCTTACAAGTGCCCACCTCTGCCCCAGGCCTGCTGAGACCTGGTGGCAGCCCTGCGGGACCTCGCTCCTGGCCAGTAGTTATCCTGTTCTGGCTCCAGCGGGGGGGCACACAATCCAACACACTGGCCGGAGCTTCCCGAGTTCTCGCACACCTCACAGGTAAGGACAATCCTCCCAGACCGCCTTCACTTCCAATACCAGCCACAAGTACTGAGGGGTCACCCGGCCACTTGCCCTTCTCGCCCACTCGGGGGGCATGCACAACCCACTCGGATCAACAATGTACTTAAGATTGGGGCTTTAACACGGGGGGTGCACACGGGGGTGCCTGGAAGAGCGCTGAACGCAGCTCTTTCCTGAGCCTCGGTGCCCATGGACCTTACTGGGGTTTCATGACTGGGCACGATGGATGAAATCACTGGCCACACAGGGAAACTCAATCAGCAGCCCTCCTTCCCTCCTTGGTCAAGGTGTTCAACGACCAACCCTATTATCACAGGCTCCATCCTTCCAGGGACAGTCCAGGTGCTGGCTTTCAGGTAGTGGCTGCATTAGCATAACAAAGACACTGCTCCCAGTCAGGAAATTCCAAGGGTTTGAGGAGCTCCCGGGGAGGCGGGGGGGGGGGGGGGGGGGGGGGGGGGGGGGGGGGGGGAGGTGGGGG